AGGAAGGAGCACTGAGATGACATTGAAGGTGCAAGTTCTAGTGAGCGAGTGTATGTAATGGGAATGACTTAGATGAAGAGCTGCTGAGTGGGGATCAAATGATAGAGGAAAGACAGGAAGGAGTGAGGGCATCAGCTTGTCAGATGCGAAATGACAGGGTCTGAAGTGAGAGGTGAGTTTGTGTTGATAGAAGGATAATGGAATGAAAAGGCCAGAGTAGTCAAGTGACAGCCACAGTTTGTGTGCCGTAAAAGCAAAAAGTGCCATCAGTTCAGCAGTAAGACTGCATATCAATGCTGCGCCACAGGGTAACTCATTTTGCACAGTCCATTTACAGTTCTTGGGAAAGTTAAAGCATATTTATATGACTCAAGCAAAAACAATATCTAACATACGATGCTGTGAAAACGTATTTCTTCCCTTGCTGGTTTCTTAGAATTTTGAATATTTGTCACAATGACATGTTTTTAAAATTTTAACATTACATAAAGATAATGTGGGTAAATGCAAAGTGCAGTTTTTAAATGATGGAATAAAGATATCTAGTGTAAACCTACCTGGTCTTATGTGAAAAAGCAACCCCCCCGTTAAATCAAATCAAGTTAAATCAATCATGCCACACTTGTTAAATCAAGATATCATCTGAATAGAACATGTCCAACAAAGTGAAGTAGGCTCCTCCCACTATCTAAATAAACATTTGTTGTGGGCGACTTGATGGACTATCAGTTCTGCTCTCTGCTAGAAAGTCCTGAAGGGGAATGTCTGGCCATCAGTTCATACCCTGAAGCTCCAAAACACAGCAGCTATTCCACCTTTTTGGAGTTTTTTTGTCCTAGTGATAGTCAGACTGAAATCACATTGAAATGCTTTGGCTGTTCATGCTCAAAACCCCCCAAATGTGGCTAAATTAAAACAATTCTCGAAAGAAAAATTGTGATGTGAAAGACTGATTGCCAGTTATTGCAGTTGCTTGATTGCAGTTCTTGCTCCCAAGGATGGAATAATCAGTTATTAGGTTCAGGGGGTAATCCTTTTTTCACACAGGAGCAGGTAGGCTTGGATATGTTATTTCACTTAATACACAAAATCATCATCTAAAATGTACATTTTGTTATTATTGTGGTTATCTTTGTCTAATATTTGAATTTGTTTGGTCTGAAAGATGCAAGTATGACAACTATGGAAAACAGGAAAGGGGGGGGGTAGTTGTTGCTAGGACACAGCTGTATACACTGCACACACGCAGTTTTCAAGATAGAAACACCTGAAGCATGTATCTAATACTCTCATTGACTAAACACTTTTCAGTCCAGTAACCCTGTTTTTTTTTTGCATGAATTAGATCAGGTTTATTCCTTAGTATTAACACCAAATACTGCATTTCATTTTTGTTAATGTCCTCAGAAACACTCTGTACTGTACTCTGTAACTGTAGAAATCACATTATCATCACCAGATGATTTCTCCTACACTTTAGCAAGTATTGTCTCTTAGGCTGTTGATTATAGGACTCAGCTCTATATACCTTAAAAAATTTACAGGTTTCAAGGTAAGACAAGGCCAATAAAATCCAGATTAAAGGCCAAAGGTCACTATGTAAAATCTCAAAGAGTGAACAAAAACAGTCTATCTGGGAAAGGATGTTATAGATTGTTCGTAAATGATAATAAATGACACCCGCGCAGCTGTGTAAAGCCCAAGATTAGGTGATGAATACAATGTAAATGCATCTGGCTGGTCTCAAATGACAAAAGAGTTAGAGAAAAGAAACAGGCAACCAAAACAGTGTGCACTACTGAGAAACAGAGCTGTCACAAGCATATGCATTTCAAAGAGAAGCTGTTCAAAAATTGGAAGTTAACCCTGCAAGAGTATTTAGAGTCTGTGAGAAGCTGTACAGAAACAGAACCAAGTCAGTTTAGGAGCTGGAGGTAATGACAAAATGTCTAACACCTGCTGATAAGTAGCTGTTTTGTGTATTTTTTTAAACCCTAATGAGGATTGTCTTATGGATCCTTTTTAAAATAAATTTAAAAAGATAAATGATGGTTGCGATTTAGAATCGTTGTTACTGTGGAAAATTGTAACATTCTATGTGAAAGTGAGAGCTGAGCTGTGTTATGTATTCAGTGCTTTTTTTTGTTCTTTTTTCCCCCCATCTGGTCGCCAGCAAGATTAAGACTAAAATCTTTGGGTGTTGATCTTATTCACTTGTTATAAACCTATGACATGCATTGGCTTTTGAGGATGAATTCTCTTAAGTCCTTTGTGGTTTCTTTGTAATTGTTCCATTATAAATTTTATTAATCACACAAAGAACTAGAGAGAGAAACCAATTATGTCATCAGCCAGTCTTTCACACCGCTTAAAGTACCTGGGTACATGTTGCTTGGTGCCTGTGTGAGTTTTCTGTGGTTGCTTTTGTCCAAACTCCTAAGACATGCACGTAAGGTCGACGTGGGTGGATGTGAGTGGATACATGTCAGTGTTTTTGCTCATTACTCCAAATCGTCAGCTGAGACTGTCTGCTATTCCCCCAGCCACTCCCAAAGTATAGTTAATTTAAAGATACTTCATTATATTAGCAGTTATTGACCTTAAATGTGTACTTTCGAGTAGTTTATAGTTACTTTACATTGCATATATTTATACAGTTTATTTTCGTTTAGTTAACATTTTACAAAAAAAGAAACAAAAAGAAAAGAAAAATGTTGTGTTTTCTGACAATACCTACTAATGTTTGTACAAGCACCAGTGAAATGCCACTGAGTTTTTTTCTTTTCCAGTGGTTCTGGAGAGAGGAGCTCTTTTATTTTTTTTAGGGTGCTGATGCTGGCTGGGATGAAATGGTATCTTAAAGGCTAAAGTCAAGGAACAAATGTCTCATTGCGCATTAAGCATTGCTCCCTGATTGACTACAGATTTTAGATTTTTGTAGTTATTTAAGTAAATCATGTGACCTTTTCTGTATTCAAACACTGTATTTATTCTACTTAAGCTATTTTGCACAATATTGCCTCTTTAAGTGAGATAAAAAGGCTTTCAAACTATCAGTGACAGGCAGTATATTGGGCTGGAAAAAGAAGTTGGCACACACAGCGTGCAGAAGAGGGACCGTGAAAGCTCTCCAAGAGAGCAGCTTGGGTTTCATGAATTACTTCATGGTGGACTATGGGTTATGATTTGGATGTTTGTCCTGTTAAAGAACTTTTATATTAGTTTCTTTAACAAACTGAATGACATTTGCTAATATGTAGTGGAGTCCACTCTTTTTGTGTTTTTCCAAACAGAGCTTTGGTGATTGTGGTCAAAGAAACATGTTTAACTCCTGCTTAGCTTTTTTCTGATTTTTGTTTCCTTATTTTCTTGAGAACTGTGTACATGGCTGTGAGGTTGTAAAGTTTTCTTCTCATGAGCTTTGTTAACCCTGCTTGTATATTAGCATGGACAAAACAATAATGCAACACCAAACCCGTGTCAGCCAAACTACTCTGCAGCTCTTTTGCTATATGTATCAGATCGTGTGTTGCCTTTCTGTCCAACTGACTTGCAGTTTTTGCCTGAAAGACATCTTAATGTCCCACATTTTCCCTTAACTGCCATTTTAATAACATTTCTGA